CCCCCCCCAGCAGCACACCAGATCCAAAGGTGAGCAGCTCGTGCTTGCTTGCTTGCTTGCTTGTTTCGTCTCTGCAACGAAAACAACAGGAAAAGCAAATACAAAAAGAGAAAGGAGAACAGCTGCCAAAAGAAAGAAAGAAAGATAGATAAATAGATAGGTATAGACAGATACAGAAGCCACAGAAGCCAAAAGCCACAAAAGCCAGAAGCCACAGAAGCCAGAAGCCAGAAGCCACGAAAAACAAAAAAAAATCCAAAAAAGAAACAAAAAACAAACAAAAATAAATACCCCTCCTTTCTAGGCAGCTTTTCCATGGTTTCCATCCAACTGTCACCGGTGGAGCCCCGCGCCGGCGCTTGGGCTGGCTGATCCCCTCGATGCGCATCACAGCACCTCGACGCCGCGATCAGGTGGTTGACCCAGGGTCAATGTAGGCAGATATATTCCATGTATGGAGTGTCCCAAGAGAGGTTGAACAGCCCGTCTGGTCGCCCATCCCATATGTACCAAAGCCCAGGGTCCGAACGTTCAGGTCTTTCAACCTCTGTTGGTCTGGGGTATTTCCAAATCTCAATCATTTGGTGGTTCAACGAGTTCAAAGACACTGTGCCCAAAGAGTTTTGGGGATGATGCTGGACTGGACTCCTGCCGGCCAACAAATCAACCGGCTCAAGGCAGGCTTAAGGTATCTCTGCAGAGTTTGCTTAATCTGGGCATCTGTCCAGGCAGGTATCTGTTTGATCCTTTTTCCAGGAAAAATACAGCTCTTTGATGGTAAGCTCTTCATATGATAAGTTAAAAATAATCTGTTCAGGTGGGCATTGATCCCATTTCGTAACTCTTGGAAAACAAGAAGAACAACAGCTGCCGAAAAACATCACCAACTAAAACACAACCAGAAATCTGATGGCTCCAAGAACAACCACACCTAGCCACTGTTCGGATGGCTCTCCGGCTCGATGGCTCTCCAGCTCAAGGCTTCGCGGAACGCTTCCCCGCGGTGGACGGGTGGCCAGAAGTGAATCCAGAGCTTGGTTCCTTCCTGGGTACACCTGAACAGGTGATCATTTGGAGTGATAATTATTACTCTTCAGGGGTACCAGGTTGAAGAAAGGGGCACAAACTGAGGTGGACTCTATACTTGAAGGAAGCTGAAGAGGTCCGAGTTCTTGAGTGAATGATTGTGCTTCACAAGAACAAGAACAACATATCACCTTCGACAAGGTCATCCAATGAAAGGCCCTTACATTCGTGGATCTCCATTGAGTGATACTGTATCTAGAATCCATTATCCATGTATGCCATGCCTATCGATCCTTGAAACCACCCGATCATGCAGAAACATATGCCAGTCCCATATGCTTCTTCTGGTTGAATACCCATGTGATCTTACATTGAGTCGGGGAGGTACAGCAGTAGGCCGGTCGAATGCACTCGTTTTTTCCGTCATTCCGAATGCGGCATCACAAAGAGCTGCCATCGGAGTATTCCTCAGGCGCGTTCCGCGACACAGATGCGCGGCCAGGACATGGACGAGTTCGTAGAGAGAACTTGGTGACATTCCGTCTGTGTCATTCTGAAACACTCCATCTATGGAATATGTGCCGCCCCATTGACCCTGGATCCACACATGTAATTAGGAAAAATGACAGTCCCATTTTTTGTGTCTAGGCTTTGGTATCAGTGGTAAGTCATGGTTGATCAACCACATGAGGGAAGCTGGAGGATTCGCCATCCTCGCCTGCTATGTTTTCCCTTCCTCAATGGCACCATCGACACCGCGCGCCCTCTTCACGCGCTGTGTCGGACACACCAACTCTGGAACGGACCGAGCGAACCAAACGTCTAGACGAAGGGCAGCAACGGATGTTCATTTCGATCGGCTGTGATTGGCTGGAAGTGAAAAGCTCTTTCCCTCAGAATCCGGATCCTCAATGGGAAGGCCCGAAAAACAGGACGGGGTTTTGAGGAAGAAAAGAACACTGCTATGGAAAGGGGCCAATTCTTGGAGAAGGATTGTCTGGTTTGTCGAACGTTCTATTCCCTATAGAGTCATTTTACTTCAAACGCCCGACATCCTCGGACGTCCACTCCTCCAACCCACGCCGAATGGGACATGACAGCAAAAAAGAAACACAAACAATGCATTAAGAACGCCCCTTGTTGTGGTGAAGTTCAGAATTACCATACCATGAACATCCATCGGCAGCTTGGGATTTGCGGAGCAGCCAGGCAAAAAAACAACAGTTACTCCCATGGTTTCTGGCAGGTGGACGGATTGTGCACCCCCAAAATTGGGACCTTTCCACTTCCAATCTCAAATAGATAAGAAACGCCGACAGCGCCGCCGCCGACGCCGACAGACGGACGAGGTCGCATCAGGTCGCATCAGGTGATGAAAACAGAGAGGACATCGCATTCAGGTCGCACGTCTTGCCCCAAGACGCGGATCGCATCAAATCTGCCCAACCTTTGCTATCTTGAGGATATGAATGGATATGAATGGATATGAATGGATCTTGAGGATATCAATAATGCCATCTTGAGGATATGAAAGGATGAACCAACGGTTAATGCGATGTCCGATGTCCGATCTCGTCGATGTCCAAGAGGCGCTCATGGATCCTTGACCCAGAAAATCGTCGTCGTCGATCTTGCCCCAACCTTCGATCCGTCGTCGTCGTCGTTTTACAGCGCGGGTAGAACAATAACGAACGCATACGAACGTGCGATGAACCAACCGAAATCACACGGCTATACATAATAGAAACTCAGACATGACACATGGGACTGCCATCTTCGCCGAATCAGGCCAGGGGTGGTTGAAAAGGGGTCAATCAATATCCATCAATCCCATTTCAGGTATTTGGGTAGTTATCTCGCATCGACGACTACCCCAGGATCCGATCGTGAGTGAAGTTTGCCGAAACACTCGGCCACAAAAGGTGAACCGTTGGGTGTGTAGTAGAATAGGGTGACCACTCAAAGACCTCTGGGAACATCAAAAGCAGGCCAAAGCCATTTGGTTGGGAAGTCCCCCTATTAAAATGGCAATATATGACCAACCCTAAGGACCCACATACCTTCTCAGGTTGGGTACGCCTGGACCCTCCAAACAAGGTAAGAATGTCGAACACATCACGTTCTCAGAGCTATAGGGCACTCCCCGGACTGTCGATCTCATCAATCGATCCCAACGTCGAAACCTCCACCCAAACACAGAACTTCCATGTACGGAGGAACTTTTCCATACAGCTACGCATCATCACCCCAATGCGACCGTCATGTAAGATCATGTAGGTAATTATTCCACATCATGACACTCCATGTAAGGAATACACGATATAGTAAATAGTACATATATATATATATATTTAAATACATATACATACATTGGGGTGGTTTCAAGAACAATGGATCATCCACGCACACAGATCAGGATCATTGCGCACACAGGATCTGGATCAGCTGCGCACACTGAATCTGGATCATCTGCACTCACAGAGGGGGATGGGGTGGGGACGGGGGGGATGGGGTGGGGAAGCGTTCTGTGATGGCCACGACCACGCTCCTTCCGCTAAACGTCAATATCAATGACCCTACTGTGTTTGCTCAGTGAAGGTGTCTCGCCGCTTCCGGAGAGAGTGCAACTCAGAAACATCTCAAGAACCTCACATGCTTCTAAGAGAGCATGGACTCCTGAGCTGCTATCACGCGATGCACATCGCCAGCTTTAGAGGATGAGTCTCGGCCTCTTGTCTTTCCGTGCGTCACACAGGCCCAAGGTGTCCGCGTCTGAATCACTCCTCTGGCGTGCAAAGGTATTTCAAAACACATGATACAAACACGGACTTGCAGATTGACGGCTGAAGTGTCACGTGTGTCAAAACAATTTGTTTGCACAGAGTGCTTGATCCTGTGTCCAGAAAGCATGTGTTTAGATGGCATCCAGCACCACAGACAAAGAAGTCGTGACAGCCCCAACAAACTCCGAGACCATGGCAGGCCAGGATGTTATCTGAGGCTTCGCTGGGTGTCCGCCAGCACTTGAAACAGAAGGGACCATCTCAACCAGCACCCACTTGTCCAGGCACTTCGCTAGCTCCTGTGGAGTTGCATGGGTTGAGGCGCCAGGTATTGAACGCATTGACTCCTCCGAGCAAGTCCAGCGTCTCAACCGATGCGCCAGTCCTACAAAAACTCGACCGAGCTCGCACGAGAAGTTTGTCTATATATACCTATCAAAAGCAACAGTCTGGAAATCAAGCAGAGATCAAACAACAGTGCACAAGTGCAGCGAGCAGCCACGTCGCATACACTAACAGAATGAGACCCAAGATTCCAGATGTGCGTTCATCGGGCCAAAGCAGCTGAAAAACAATAGGCGCAATCATGTCTCGTTGGTCATTGTCAAAAGCTACTTGACCAGCTTCATCCAGCTTCACTTTCTTGCGCGACAGTAGAAGGGCGAATCGTGTTCTTGGACAAATCTGTAAGTCCCATAGCATTCTCAGATGTGTGTTGCCCGACAGCCTCAGCAAATGATTTGCGACCAAGTGCAGGGAAACCATTTTCCGTATTCCGAAAAGTGTTTATGAAGTGGCAGTCTGAAGTATTCTGAGGCAAGCAAGCTCCAAATTCTCAAACAACTTGTGGGTCTCACTGCCAGCAGCGCGGATCAAAAGCCTTCTGCTGCTTGGGTCGCATGTTCCGACACCTCTCCACGCGCATTCGGCATGTTCTGCAATAAAACCTGTAGTACAACCGAGCATCGCCAAGTCGAGAGGTGCTTGTGAGACCCTATGCTTACCAGGAGTCGAAGTGCAAGCCCATGCCCGCAACTCCTTCGTGAACTCGTCTAACTAACGTTCACGGCGCACCATCATGAACGCGCTCTAACTGGAAACTCTTCGACAGCAGCCGGCCTCTTGCTAGCTGGTCTTTTCTTGGGCATCAAGAACAGCAAGCAAGAATTCATGTGTACGACCGATCCGGATTCCGCGTGTACAGCCGAACCCTCGTGGTTTCAGGAAGGGATTTATATGTAAATATGCCATATACATGGAGGGTCTGGACACGTGGCCGCGGAACTCTCCACACTGCCATCCGACAGCAGCGCGGCGAAGGCCATATGGCTGGACTGGATCAGCTGCACGTTCCTGGCCAGATGGGACCCCCCATGTGGTCTTGGATTTGCCAAGAACAGGGGAAAATAAAGAAATCTGTCAAAGCAGGGAATTCCCCATAAGTAAAATAGAAACCACCCCTAAGCAAAGCCAGGTTGTGCTGGGAGAACAAGCTGGCTGAAGGGTGCAGACATGCACCAGTTCTCGCAAGTCACTGGAGGGATTTGTTTGGCTTGCGTTCTTATGTATGCTCCAAATCACTGCCTA